TTTGGGGTTTCAGGGACTGGGACAGATTTGGTTTGTGGATGTAGAAGAAGAGGGAATTGATGAGGAGATGCCCTCAACCTCAACGATGGAGCCATCAGTAGTTCTCTCTGATTATTTTTTTTTTATATCCCTGATTATTAGGTATCTTCTACTATAGTCAGTGAGCTGCCTGATGAAGTCCTGGTGCGCTGAAGAGAACATCTCTTGCAGAGTATCGATTCCTCACGCGGTATTTCCAAGCTCAGGTTTCAGAGCCCGATCAGCCCAGCAGTGCCATCGCTGAACAAGGCACCAACACTCTGACTTCGAGAGATGCCAAATGCCTGCCGGGTCTCTCTCCGTACCTGAGCATTCAGCTTTTCTGGAAACCCAGCCACAGATGTTCGCGATTTCAGACTAACGCCGCATCTGCAGTATCCATGAGAACAGCTCTGCATCTCCGTGCAGTGAAAACATCCTGCGCACAGCAGGATATTCCTCCAAGTTCTCTACCAGGACACTCTCCTCCATCATCACGCCAGTGACTGCTGTCGTCGCCGCTCTCGCTCTTCTTACGGAAGGAAAAAAAGCTTCTGTCCCCATCGTATGGTAAACCACAGAGTAAGTGCAGTTAACCAAACATCTGTGCAACAGCAAGGAGCCAGAAGCAGAACAGAGCCTTTGTCATGTTAAGGAACAGTTTAATTTCTGCAGCCAAAAAGCATTTTTCGTTATGCTTACTTGCAGACTGGCCTTAATAAAGCCCAGCTCAGCAGAGCTTCTGCTCTGCCTATCCAACACCACAGTGGGAGAAACACCTTGGGCTGCACTTCCAGAGTTCAGCAACCAGGAGCAAGCCTACCCCGAAGGCACCACCTCTGCAGCTTCCCATCTTCTCCGAGTCCCAGCCCGGTGCAGGTCACCTGCCGGGAGCGGCATGTCCATGCCTGGGCGAGTCACCCTGGACTGCCCTCCAGGCAGCGGAGCGGGACGGGTATGGGATTCAGCTCATCCAAGTCAACGGCTATAAGAGGCCAGATGAATCGCTTCAAGTATTAAAGGAGATCTGAGTGACTGCCCGAGGAACAGACGCGTGGATTGCAAGCATCTAAAATTAGGTGAGATGAATCCAAGCCAGAGGTGAAGCGCTTTTGGTGAAGCTCTAAATGCTTCATTTTGCTAAAGTCCCGTGGATGCTGGGAAGTTCCCTGAGCAGAGCAGACAAAAAGCCTGTTTCTACCCTGCTCCAGAGTGAGTGGTGACAATAGGGGACACACCACCAGCACGCACGATGTTGGGTGGTCCAGTGCCACCCTGAGAAGCAAAAGCCCAAATTAATACAGTTATATGCGTGCAACAATATAGACAGTAACTTCTTCCTTCCTTGGTTTTCCTGTGCAAGACAAGAAAATCTGTGAACCTTCCTCAACACCCCGTGTATTGGTTAGAAGAGCAGCCTGGACAGAGTCATCTCATCCAATTTTATTTGTCAATACTGGAGATATCTCCTGGGGAGCCCGTCACCCTGAGCTCCCTTCATAAATCAACAGGAGGAGACGCTTCCCAGGCACTCTTCATCTGACCTATTTTAGCCTTTTAGCTCATGATGAAATGAATCATTTTTATTTTTCTCCTCTGACTATAAAGCAAGTCTAGACAAGTAACTCAGATGTTGATACTTAAATCTGGATAGAGTAATTTCACTTCTGGGGTCCGTCTCTGACTACAGCTCTTTTACTGCCTTGCCAGGGCAAATCACTTCACTTCTGTCTCTCTCACAGTCCCTTCAGCAGCAGCACAGGGATAAAACATTTTATTAGCGTTGTAAAAGCATGGAAAATAATTGCATGGAAGTCTCTGATTAAGTCTAGGCAGAAAACAGCAGAGCATTATAACAGAATTTGGGTTAAGAAATACAAGGGTAAGAGTGAACATACACTAATAACCACTTTCTCCACGCACCAGTCACAAAGAATTGGGTCTTTCCTTAAAATGTTTTATGTTATTTGTCAACTAAGACGCTTGGTTAATAGTGCTACACTGACAGGCTGGGAAAGTCATCACTGCAATGCTGGTTAAACGCTCTGGCAAATGCTTTTTTGGTGCCCTGTTATTACAAAATGGTGGCTGCTGGAGGGGTTGCCGTGTGGGAGGGCCTGCAGCGATAGCGTTCCCCTTCAGTGCCACTTAGCCTTTGCTTTGGGCAGCAAACGCACGGTGAGTATTCGAAGAAGAGGGTTAGCATCTCAACAGGCTAACACAAAAATCTGGAGGATGGAGATCTGCTGTTATCTTAAAAGCGTAGAAAAATGTGGTAATTTCTGAACATTGTGTTCTTCCTCTCTCCTCTTTTCGGTGCTTCCAAGAACATGGGAACTCACTCTCATTAACGAAATGAGGAAGATTACCCCAGCTGCAGCGCCATGGACACGAGGCCCATTATCCCAATTTCCTTTGTAACGTCCTCACACCTGGACACTCTGTCAGGGTAAGTCAATTAAAACCAGCTTCACAAAACTACATTTCACTTCAGATCTCTTCTCCTGGGGAAAAAAACAGTCTCAGCAACCTGACGTTACGTATCGACATGGCAAGGTCAACAAGCTTCACGTGAACGGTGCACTTCTGCAACGCTGGACGATGAACTCGGGGAGTGGTCAATACAGTTGCCATGCCTTCTCAATTCCCAAGCGAGCAGAAAGACATCAAACTGGCTGTGAACAAACCAGACGCAGGCAAATTTTCATAGGCTACTCCTATGAGCTCCGTCAGTGGCAAGCTGTGCTTCTTTTAGAAGAAATAAAATGAAAAATCATTACTTATCTTAATCGTCGCTAAGGGTTTACCATGCTGAGTTCAACATCTCAATATGAGCTCTTCCCTGAGAGCTGGACAGGAGGATTTTGAGGAGCGCAATAACTGAATCTCAGGGGGTCCAGTCTATTAATCACTGAAATGTATCCTGTTTCATTATCTACCATCAGAGTATAATGCAATTAGTGCACATTATACATTAGAGATATTTATTGGTCCTCCAGAACGTATGGACTCACACTCAAGGCAGTGGGAGCCCGTTATATGCATTGCAACTTCTTTTTTGCCAGTGGCAAGGAGCTGAGTCGGGTTAGCTCTGCAGGGATTCCCTACTCACAAAGAGTATGAGCGTTCCCCGTACACTTTAATTTATCACGTGAAATGGCACGTACGGGATGAAAAGTGATGCCTGAAAGTCTCCTGAATGGTCTGGAAAGCGGCGCGATGTGTTCGTGATGTTCGTGAAAGACAGCACCAAACCCGAACCCTGAGCAGAGATCTATCACATCGCTGGTGACTTGTCGAGCAAATACGGGCTGATTTGTGCCTTCGTGCTAAAATCACACGCGGTTGCATGCCTGGTTTCGGCGCAAAACCACATAAAATGCAGCATGTTTGAATTTCATTCTGAATTCTGAGAACGCCCTTACCCATTGCTGTGAGAATGAAGAGGAGTATTTCTGGACCCAGAGGACCAAAGCCCCCGCCGTTACCTAGCCGTATGCATTGCTACCACCGCAGCACCCAGCACACACGGGTGTTTTACCCACCAGGTAAGCATCCTGCACCTTAATTTTCTTTTCGTGGTAACGAAGGAAAGTAGCGATTTTTCCGAGTTGCTCTCGCTATGGTTCGTTATGGCAAATGCTGTGTGATTAGTGATAATTGCCAGGCACGCTGGCTGCCGTCCCTGCGCCCGGCTGACGACAAGCTCTCTTACAGCCAGGCCAGCCAAAACCACAGGGGCTAGCCAAAACCAGTAGCGCCGGGTACTAGCAACTGGGAGGGAGAAAGCTCTCAGCTCCATAGGCGTAAGCGCCACACAGGCATTGCAAACAGGGTGGAAAAGCATTAGGCAGTGACAAGCACTTAATGCCTCTGAGGAAGGATATTATATCAATCAATGTTAGTTATTTAAAGACACCTGCTGCTGTGAGATGCTTTACAAAGGGTTCGCTCGATAGGACTATTGTGCAGAACCTACTAAAACAGAGAAGATGCCTGTTGGGAGGAGCTATATAGTATTTTTCTACTGCAGCCTGTTTACCACAAAATTTAAAGTGGTAAATTACTCTGACATTGCTAACAGCTACAGCTGCTTTCATCACCCAGGTTGCTACTTGGTTCCAGCAGATACCATCATATTTTCTTCAGACTGACCGTAGGGTCTGGGAGATGCACTGACACGGCCCTGAATCCAAGTGTTTTCCTGATTTTTATAATCATATTTTAAGAAATGGGCAGGCCGAATGGAGCAAAGCTTATGGGGACAAACTACACTAGAATTACAGTCAAGAGTGTCTGTTTCCACTCTTCAGTAGAAACAAAGATAACATTGTTAACAGTGATCATTGGGTTTAGAGAATATAAATCTAACCATGATTAAATTCTGTTCCTGTGAGCTAAGCCAGGAACTCAGCTGCTATCAGGACAGAGATTATGGATGCATTTACAGTCCAAAATTGCTGGAGCCTGATTCTGTTCCTTATTTCGCTTTCAAAAGGACATTTAGTAGGACTACGAGGAACACAACTTCAAAAAGAAGCCAACTGCAAAAGACATATCCACGCTGTTCATCCTTTATCTCCTTATCGTCTACTTCACGTGGTTTTGGTAACTTTGGAGAAAGGGAGGATGATTCCCTTTCTCCAGACTGAGTCGGCACAAATAATCTGCCGTAATGCAGACATCCCTGGTGATGCCTGTATGGGAGCTAGTCAACTTGGGGCCTTCTGAGGAACAGCTGACTCATTCTGAAGATGACTACTAGGTTTGCTGGGTCAGTTGTGTGCCCAGGGGATGCTTATTTCTTTCCATGACCAACATAAAGATCTAAGGTGACTAGTACAGATGTAGAGATCTACAATGCAGACAGACCAAAGTCAGGTGAGATGCATCTATGTCCAACCTTCTAAAATGAAATGATTCAGATAATAGCATGAGATGAACACATTCGTAAACTCTGATTTCTCAGAGCGTTTGCTTACCTAGGATCACAAAGAAACTTGGTCTTTTCACCTTCTTCTCTCCAAATAAGCCATTCTCGGAAAGAGGGATGAACAAACATTCGCGTCATATCTCTACGTTTGATAAGAAACATAGAAAGGTTCTCCATCCTCTGCTGAAAGTCATCCCACTCCAAAGTGCCCTCAATGTTACCTGCATTAATGGCCTGAAAAATATGTTCATCTGTTAATGGATGCAGAGATGCCACTGCCACATTCAAGAGAGGCATAACCCGATCAAAGGAAGACTGCGTTGGGAACTTCATATTGCACTGCAACAGGTAAACTTCTGACAGAGACACTGGGACTACTTTGTAGCTGGAGCTTTTTAGTACTAGGTATCCTTTCTCTATGAGATCAAAAGTGAGTTTTAGGTACAGATAGGACCCTTGGCTCAAGGTCTTGAGGTGAGAACTGAGTTTGCCAAACGTAGTGTTGTCCATTTTGCCGTTAAGCGAGATGTTGTTCTGGATCTCCGAGCTGCTGTGTATCCGATGAAGGATATATGCCTGCAGGTCCTGGTCTATGGCTTCATTCTCTTCCAGTCTATCCAAAAATATTCTGTGGAAGGGCAACAGCTTAATTATTTCCTACAAAAAAAAAAAGAAAAAAAAAAAAGGATACTCATGCTGGCAGTGTTTATTATTCATTAAGTAAACTTAATTCATATTACAATAGCACCTTTGAGACTCCTTTAAGACCTCTTCCATCAGGGCAAGCACACAAGATGGCAGTTTGTGCCCTCAGGACCTCACAATCTCATCTATAATCAAGGAGGTTGCGTGGGAAACATGACTGAAATAAAAATGAAGGACACTGTTCCTAATACCGCATCCATGGAAAGGGCTGGAAAATTCACACAGAGCAGTGCCCTTGTTATTCCTACCCCAGCCCAACCACCTATCGACATGCCACCCCTTCTGCTGTCATGTCCAAGGGAACGGACAACCAGATGACAGATCTGAGGCCAGAAGAAATTTTGCTGAAGCCGAGCTAAGTACCTCCCCAGGAGTGTGCTCCCGTATCGCAGAGCTGCTATTAACAGAGAAACGCACGAAAACATCAGGACAGATAATAGCGAGTATTTTCCAGTGCAAAATAAATACGTCTATCTGCTGCAGGACAGTGTGGCCAGGGATTCTCTCATCTGCTAAGCTTACTGATGATGCTCATGCAACATAAACCAAAGATCATCAAAGGCCTCTCCAAAGGAATTCTTACATCACAGGCTCTCAGTCACTGCGAAGCAGGGAGAAATGATGCAATGGAGCTGGACAAGGCAGTTGCAGGAGAAGCCATCAATTCTCCAAGAAAATAAAGAGGCTGAGCACAGTGCAAAACTAAAGCTTGCAGTGAAAACCGTAGGGCTGCAAAAGCCCTAATTAAATGAGGAATTCAAGTCATAGGGATGCAATTTACCTACAATTACAAAAAGATTTCTTCCAAATGATGTTTAATCTACTCCATTACTGAGCAAAAAAAGAACTGCAGCACAAAACAGCAGATAGCCTGTGCTCTCCTGGTGTCTTGGGGAGCAGCTGCCGTTCCCAGCTACAAAGGCAGCGTGCAGCAGCTGGCTGCCTTGATGGAGCTGGAACCAGCACTCAGCTCCCTGCCAGGAGGACCACAGTAAATCAACCTGTGGATCTCGGTAAATATTAGCAAACCTCAGTAAGACTGCTTAACGGAGCTCCATAAAAATGAACTGTGCAGCCCTGAGCTAATGAAAAAATGGCTAATAATGAAAAAAAGGAGAAACGCAGAGCTGCAGACACGCTCTTCTGCGTGGACCAGCTGGTCCAGCTAAAGAGTGGCTCTGAGCTGGCTCCCAAACGTGTGTCTCGTCCCTCTGACGTCTGTCTCCTCTGGGCTCCTGGCTCAGTGTGAATGTTCCCCCAAGTGATGCTGCAAATCAACCAGCTCTACTGCGAAACAGTTGAAAGAGCAGATCTGCCCTAACTGGGTCATTGTGTTTGCTTCCCAGCTTGCTCCATTCAGACGAGCAGTTCAGCCAATAAACTAAGGTCAGCTTAATCCTTATGCCAAGAGAGTGGCAATGAGTAGCTAAGGACAGGCTGAAGGTAGAAACTTGCCCAGCTGCAAACTAAAATAAAAATACTTAAGAATAACCCAAACAACATTCAGCTTAGAGCTTCAGCACCTGCTCAAGATATTCTCATTGAGCTGAATAATGTCTTGGACCAACATTGACTCCTCCAGACTGAAACAATCACACTCTCACGCTCTGGGTCACGCAGAAAGGGTGTGAAGATATGCATTCCTTCACCCTTCCACGGAGGAGGGGATGTCCTGGAGGAGGGGATGTCCTCGAGCAGCACAGGCTGACAGACATCAGGCCCTACCCTCCTAATGAGCTCAGCGAGTAAGTAGGCCGTTGGCACGTGAGCCGTCTCACTCAAATGAACTAAACTATTTGCTGATGAGCATTTATTGACATGAGTAAGTGATGCTGAAGAGTGAGTTTGGCGACATGAATGTAAATCCAAATACAAAAAGGCCAAAAGGATAACCTGAAGTAAAGGGTCTTAAGCAAATCCAGATATCCACTAAGATCTCTATCAAAGCCCATCGTGACAATGACACAGTTTATCACAATTCTTGGTCTCACCATACCTGTAGACTTGTCCTGACGGTCACTACCAGCTTCAGCCAGGAAGGGAACTTTCCAATCATTTTGCTCAGGAATGATACTATAGTGTCTCCATAATCTGGCTTGTGAAATTCAGCCTCATTTAAACCATCAATTAATATAATGAAATCTTCATCAGGGATCTTCCTCTCTGAGAGAAAGAGAAAAAGAAAAAGCATTTATTTGAAAGGCTAGACATGCGACTATAATGTACTGCAAAGTCACTACAGTGTTTTAAAGCACCATCAGATATTGCTAAAGAAGAAAAAAGACGCAGTAGCAGCACCTTTCTTGTGATACATTAACCGCATATACACGCAAGGGTAGGCCCACATACGCTATTTCAATTCTTATAAAATACGTATTTTAGTTATGACATACACAGCTGTGATATCCCACAGATAAAACAGCTAGTCCTCTTTTTAAAAATTACCTCTTCCACAAAGTCCGATGTTATTTGATGTGAATCAAATAATTGATGCGATAAGTTTTAATATAAAACACATTATTAGTGGTTCTCTACAGTTTTGGTGTTAAACTCTCACTCTGATGTCAACCTGTCTTAACTTCTGCAACTGCTAAATGAAGGTTCACCAAGAAACTCCGCTCCCCAACACCTCTAGATCCTTCCAATCTGCACTTGGGCACTGGCTTCTTGATCAACTGAGGTCTGGGCAAGTGTTTTGAAACAGAAGCAAACTGGATTCACAGGCAAAACAATTATTTGAGGAGAGTAAATCATCAGCCTGCACGCGTGGGGCTGGTCATTCAACAGAGGTTACAACCTCTGTTCAGCAGAGACTGTTCAAAACGACTGTGAACTTCCACTATTGTAAAGGACTTTGATCACAAGTCTGTAGCCAAACCTCTTTTATAAACAAGTTGGGAGGAATAAAAAAGATCCTACACAAAGCAAATCATGGACTTTTTAAACAGGATATTTTTGCTGTTGGTGAATACAGTAACCAAACTGAGGTAGACAATGAAGTCAGTGTTTCTACGTCAGACGCTGAGAGCTGACTATAGCTTTGTAACTAATGATACAGATTCTTTTCGACTTGCATCTTAAGCTCAAGTGGTATCTTCTTAAAGGTCATCTTGCCTAATAAACTCAAGAACGGCTGGGAAATGAGAGTCTATTGTTGGCATATGCTGTTAACGTGTACTGCAGATTCTGATCTGTATGAAGTTTGCTCTCCTTTGTAAAGTACTATGGATAAATCCTGCTATCAAAAAGCTCAGTATTCCCAATAGCAGGTTAGCTTTTCCCTTTGACTTTAAATTGCATCAGGAAATTTTCTATAAAAACTCAGCACAAAATGTTCATCGATGACGTGAGCAGTCTCTGTGGTGTTCCAGGGAGAATAGAAATTCATAAACACCTTGCGTTTGGTACTGCTGAGCATCGAAATCCCCTCTTGTCCTTGCCCTATGTTACCAAGTTGCGTTTATTTCCTAACATACTGTTAATATCCATATGAAAACCACATATTTTGCACTAAAATTACCATAGATCCATTTTCAGTTAATTTCTCAGTAAGATTATTGGGTACACTAGAAAATATGCTTTATGACTCTCTGAAATCTTGGAGTGAATATAGTGCCTGAGTTTTATACCCACATCTCATGTTTCTCATAAAGCCTGAGGGAGAGAGGAGAAAGCAGGGACTAGGGGAAGAATCAGAACTTTGTTCTCCTATATATTATTTAGATTCCTTCAGATTAAAAAAAAAAATAAATTTGAGAAACATGAATCTAACTTTCTCAGTGACATTCACCATTAATGGCTGTGCAATAATTTTGTCCCAGTAGCATTAAAGCTTCAACAGCACCTTGTAAAAGACCTGCTGATATATTTACAGAGTCTTAAATGTTGTATATTTTAAAACCAATTTCCAGACACTGTTCATTTTGTTACAAAACACTTGGTGCAAATTAGCTTGCCAGCACTCTCGATCAGCAAGGTTGAAAGATGGGAGTCCGGATCATTGGCCTCATTGGAGCTGTGTTGAGTGCAGAGCCCAAGAGGGAAAAAAAAAAGCTTTTATATAAAATTTTTCAACCCCCCCAGAACTTAGGACCAGATGGGGGTCAACCTGCTTGGCAAGAAAAATAGGCATCCTCCAAAATGCTCTGAATTCAATAGCTGGAATACCTCCCAAGGAGTTACTGTAATAACCACGAATTATTTTCCTTTAGAGCAGCGGTTCCTAAATGTATCTTTTTTTTTGCCAAGAGTGTTGGTAGGAAAGAGTAGCCATGCTACTCCTACAGTGACATTTCTCCATGCCAGGAAAATCAACTGCTGTCAAGCTGTGCTGGCTCTACGTGTGCTTTGTGCCTGGTGAAACCACGCGTATTGGACCCAGATGCTGCTGCTCAGAGTTTGGACACGGTGTTTTGAAGAGCTGACTTGAACAACAGGGCTTTGAATTTGGTAGAAGATGCATCTATTTCACGTTGGCTCCTACACTGTCATATGTAGGGTGGCAACAGAAAATTATCTGAACTATTTTTGCAGCCAACTTGCAGCGCGCCATGTTAATAAGCATCGTTTTGCAGGACAAGAGAGCCCTGAACTCTGCAATGCTCTGACAGTTTTCATGGCAACGAGCAAAGATCTTAAATTTAGCGATTGTCACAACGAATTAGTTATATCTTGCAGAGGAAAGAAAGAAAAGGAGACAAAACCAATGCTACATTAGAAAAAGCTCTGAAATCTGTAATCAGGATAAGGCTTGTTACCAGTTGCCCTAGAAGCTTTACAGAGGGTATCTATAGAATTTTATGGTATCAGCTTGTTTGGTGAAAGCTTCAAATTCTCAAAAGCCCACTGAATAATGGCAGGAAAGGGAAAAACATTCACCCCCTAAACAAATAAATCCGAACACAATGCCATAAGCAGAGCTGTGCATGGAAATTGTTGCTTGTTTTCACCTTCAGGACTGTGAGGCTACGTTTGGGATGTGGAAGAAAGCAAGAAAAGAGAAAGCCAAACGCACGCTGTCATTAGCGTTTCATCTACAGCCCTGAAATGCACACCAGGAGGAGAGGGTTTAACCCCTCACTTCCAAACAAGCACGACGGCATATTCTCAGCTTCTCCAGATCTCACCTCTTCCCTGCAGCTCTTGAGATGCGACACAGAAGGATTAATCTATGGGCTTTGTTTAAATGCCCAGATGCCATTAAGCAGCATGTTTAAAATAATAATAAAAAAAGGTGTGCGGGAGCTCAGGGAAAGCGTGGGGAGTGTCATTATGATACCTTTGTGCAGATTTTCCAAGGGCTCCAGGACTCCCCTGCGGAAGGAGGCCATGGGGTCTTGCACGCAGGACCTCAGGCTGAGCATGCTCTGCAGGTGGGGCTCTCGCAGGAGCTGCTCCCTGTAGGCAACGAATTGCGGCGAGCGGCAGAGCAGGGCGGCCACGTTGTGCACAAACTCCGGCACCAGGCAGGTGTAGGCATTATCAGCCTGGCAGTAGTGATAAGCGACAACCTAGCAAAGAGAAAAAGAACAAAAAATGCCATCTTCATCAGAAGCGAGTCAGGCAAGTTGTTAAAAGCAGCGTTTTTCGTTTGGTGAGTTTGATGTATTCTGGTGGGTGAAGTCTTTAAGACTACCAAGTATTAACTGCCCGTGACAAGAATCCAGACAAATCAGTTGGTAAAAACAGGCACTGGTCCTGAAAAATGACTGGACCTGCCACTTGAGGAATAAATGAAATTAAGCTGTAGCTGCTCACAGAGACAGACAGTGACAGTAACTGACATATCGGAAGCACGCGCTGAGCAGGGAGTGATAGGATTGTGCTCCAAGCTCCGTTTAAGGACTTGGCGTCAGTAATAACTTGTGATTGTTTTCTTGAACTTATTTTTTATTTGCTGTTTTTAAATGTCAAGCTCTGTAGAAGCAGGCAGAGAGCACTAGCTGAGTACCTTACAGCAAGGTAGCATCTGCAAACGACAGATTCCCGTGAATGGGGGGAATGTCAGGCTTACTATACATTACTCATCCACTGTGATCCTGCTCTTCATTCAGAAAATCAATTCAATTAAAAAAAAAATCTAACCTGATTTTCCCAGCTCTTCAAACTCTGCTAGAACCCACTAAATTCTGCCCACTTATTAAAATAAGCAGAAAACCAGTGATATCTTCTCAGTTCAGTCTGCCAACTTCCCTATTTTCTTCTGCAATATTAAAAAAAGGCCCACAAAAATCTCTCTTTGCTTGTAGAGCTGCTCCAGTACCGCCCCATGCACCAGCTCCTCCTGCTCCCTTGCTGGCACCAGCCTCCTTGTGGCACTGCCTGGCCATGTGGTGCGAGCCTCTGCCAGGTCAAAAAGCTTTTCTCCGGCTCCCATTCACTGGGTTTTCTTTTCAAATGTCACTGATAGTATCCAAAAATATCCCAGCAAGGCAGGTGGGATCAGTTTTGTACCAAATCCACCATTGCCCTGGAGCATCGTAGCACAGAATGCAAATACTGCAAAATAAACCACATTTCTGAACTTGGAAAGGACAATATAACTAAGGACACTGTGCACACGAGATTTCTGTGGCCTCTCTGGATGCCTTGTGAGCTCGGATGAAACGTGGCCCGCGGCTGTGGGCCGTGATTAAGGCTTTCTGGCTTGCAATAACCAGCCCTCGGTTCGCAGCAGGCTCCGAGGCGGATGGGGTGGGTATCCAGGCTCTGAGCTCTGCCACTGCAAGGGATGGCACCGAGAAATGAAAACATCAGGCTGTGGGGTCCTCACACGTTGCTGGCTCAGCACTGGCTTTTCATTTTAAATAGAAATAAATGAAATTACTGATGGGGTACAATGCAGCAATTTCCTTTCACAGTCAAAATGAGGTGTGATGCATACAGTGATGATAAAGCTAGGCTGTTATTTCAAGCATTAAGCCCTAATACATGTGCTTAAGCTTTAATGGATACCTCCAAATTCCTAACAGAATTTCTCCTACCAGCCAGTTAAAATATAATGTATTCCCTTAGAAAACAGCACTGGGTAAAGTAATAATAAAGGTAGTGATTTCTTTTCAACAATCCTATTTATTTGGGGATTACAACTTGTGGATTCCACAGTATAAAGTTCTTAAGCGGCCGTCCCTTGATATCAGGTTCCCAGTAACAGAAACCAAATCGCTGTACACAGAGCTCTTATTTCCCACACAATAGGTGTGCAGACACAAAAATAAAGTCTCCTTTTTACGAGAGGCCAATTAACTTCTTCCAGGAATCTAAAGAGCCACATCATGGAAAAGGAGACATCCTAGTATTCATGAAGGGAACAGACACTGCTAGACATTGGGACATACATACGGTTACAACTTGATTAAGCCTCTTCATGTACATTCTAGATCCTTGTCCTGGATTTACTGGTATATTGACTAAGCCTTAAACAGTAGGATAAATGCAATGCTTAATAGGTGGATCTGAAGCTAACCCAGTAAGCAATGAAGATTTTGGAAAGGCAACACGATATTCTCAGAAATGCAACTGCACCAAAATTTCATCTTGATGTTATTTATTCTCCGTGACATTTTCTCTATCTTCAAATCAAAGAGAGACTGCCAAAAGCCAGTGCTGCAAGCTGAGCCTGGTGCTAGAAATCAGGCTCCTCACTTACACAACCAGAGTTGGGTGGGAAACAGTTTTCTCACCCTGTAAAACCTTTCAAGGTTTCAATGTATTTCCCTGTTCCACCCTTGGGAATGACACCGAGGTTAACGTGAAAAGTGAATGAAAGAGACTTCAGGACAACCGGTGGGCTGGTGTGGACAGGGTTCATCCCTAACCAGATTCAAACCCTGTTCTTTCTTCCCCACATTAGGTGAATACCTTTAAAACCCAACCACTAATGCTGTGGGGAAGGTCTCTTTCCAATTATTTCACTTTATGTACTTTATTAATTGCTCAAGGATCCGGCAAGAGGGATGGATTACAATGTCCACTGCTTAGGATTCTCTTCTAAGATACAGGAAACGATGTCCAGACCTTGCTCTACATCTGAAATGACCACTCCGTACGCTAGTTGTAATTCTGGGGCGTTATTAGTCTCTCCTCCTTCTGCTCGGCTGGACAAGCCAAGAAGTACATGCAAGAAATAAAAATAAAAACTTGTACAGCCTGGAAATAAAACTTATCATTGAAAAAGGTATGCTCTCAATAAAAGCTTCATTCTCCATAAACTGAACTACTTAGCTTTAAAAATCTGCTTGAAAAAGTTCCAACCACCTCTCTTCATAAACAAAATCACTGAATGAAACATTTAATTTTATCTAGAAACTGTGTTACAATAAATGAAATCACCAGGGAACAGCACGCTCTCCCAAAGGTATGGGCATGCCTGGATGTTGTCATCAGTAAACATTTATTTTTGTCTGATACAATTTAAGGCATCATTTTTCTAATCACAGTTTCAACTTGAACTTTGTCATCACATAGCACAAACACTGTAAACACTAAATTGGACTTCCAAAACTTTTAAACCTTTATTTCAGCTATCAGGTTTGTTAAATGATGTTTACAAAGTTGGAAGCTGAGAAGTTCCTTGCTCTAAAGTTTGAGTAAATTTAAATCACAGGATCTCAAACATTAAGAATACAATGGCTATATGCAGCCCTAATGCAGAAGTGGCTTACAACAAAGGATGGGAAAAGTAACACCTAGATCAAGAGAACTGTTCAAAATATCTGTTTGTGTCATTTTTGTAAGGGTTGAGCAATTTTGACAAGTCGAGTGACTCCACATTGAGAAACCAAGGCATTATGTTGTTTCTATTAATTATCAAATGCCAAAAGTTACAAACTTGTATAATTTCCTTTCTTGCTTGAAAGGGACCTTCAAAATAATTCACACTTGTATGATGCCTATTTTACTTCCAATGATTACCTCCTCTCCTAAAATGATCTGGAGAGTCTAGCTGGCTATACACCAAAGAAGTACATTTATCATGAGCTTTTTGGTAGCCAATTTTTTTAAACATTAATTATGTGTTATAAGGCTTGAGAAACACCAGACACAGCGAAGGCAGAGCACTGCCTCTAATGGACCACGGCCAACGTTCAACATGACCGCATTCTCTCCTGAAATGGGTTCAAGGAGCACCAAAACTCTCGCTTACCCAGAAATGACACAAACTTCATCCTCTTAACTGCTAAAGCAGAATTATGAAATACATGATTCATATTCTCTTTAGGTGTTAAATCCAGTAAGTCTTCAGGAGTCTCTTCTCCCAACCTTTCCAACACCAGCCATCCTACTCTCCCCTTTCTGCCCCAACCACTTCCATTTCTCCCTTCATCCAGCCTCACGTAACCTTCACCTTCCTACCACCCTTTCCGCTGTCCTTCCGTTCGGGTTCACTCCTCCACCCACCCCTTTCTTGGATGCGGGACTTTGCAACAGTGGCCCATCCTGACATGCAGGCGCCGTACATCTTTCCTGCAGTTCTCCTCCCCACGCCAAAATGCTTTTCTAAACCACGGCCATGCAAACTGCACCCCAGGTCTCCAAGGCCAAGCTACCAATTCATCTGGCTTGTACACACCGGCATTTGTATTTGCCCAACGTGAAAGGGATTTTGGCTCAGCTGAGCGGGTATGGAAGAATTCCATGAAATCAGAAAATGAGGGAGATTTCCTCATATAGGTCAGGACCTATGAAAACAGCTGCTGGAAGAGAAAGGAAGACACGTGTGTGTTAAAAGCGAAACAGCTATTCCAAGGATAACAGAAAACGGCAGTGGATGAGGACGGGGACAGCTGCAGGAAAGCAGCAGGAGGAAGAGGCTAGAGAGGGCAGAGAGAGCAGAAACAAAAGAGGCACAAAAGAGATTGTGTATCGCCTATAAAGTACAGAAGGAGAGAAGAGACTGAACTGCGAAGGAGGGAAAAGAAAAAGAGAGAGAAGGGGGAGAAGATGATATGGCAGGAAAGGCAGGAGATAACAGTAATATGAGAAAGACTGGAAGGACAGTGTGAACATCAAAGAAGAAAAAGGGGCTGAAATGGCTCAAGGGAAATAAGTTATTTTTACTTAATAGGACAGGCCAATTTTAAGCAGTCCTTCAGCACTATTTGTGAAAAAGAATATCCTCCATTTAAGAAGCGTTCTTTTGACATCACGCCTCTGGTGTGATTTGTCTCGGCTTCCTTCTGTAAGCGTGTCGTGCAAGGAGGCCATTCTGCCAACCCCCTCTGAAAGGACCAACCTTGCTTACCCCTGAGCTCACAGCAACACCCCGGTTCCTCCAGTGCTCTTAAAGGGCTTCAACGTTGTATTTTAACCGTATTTCTGCACCTAGCAAGATTTATCTCTTTTTGACCCATACAAAGTAGCTTTAAATAAACCCAGTGTAATGCTTTTTACCTGCCAAAATGCCATTTGCCAGGCATAACGTTGGTTGTAATAATGTAAATGGAAATCAGCACTGCTGTATGTTATCCGTTGCACATGACTATGCATGTATGTGGTGACCCAGTTTATT